ATATGAGAAAGACAAAAGTTAACAATTCCCCACTAAAGAATTGGAATGATAGTGAAATAGATGAAAATACAAGTAATGAACCCAAAAGAACAATGATAAGAATTGTCAATGAAATTAAAGAGGACATTTATAAGCATTTAAATGAATTACAAAAGGATACAAATCAACAGCTGAATGAATTCAAGAAGAATTCAAATAAACATTTGAATGAAATATGGAAGACAATACAGGATGTGAAGGAGGAAGTCAACAAAAATAGAGAAATCCTAAGAAAAATCTAACTGAAATTCCGGAAATAGAAAGCTAAATAACCCTAATAAAAACTCAGTTGAAAACCTTATGAATAAAATGGAACAAATTGAAAATAGAGTATGGAGGATTGAAGATAAATAGAGGAATTAGACCAATCAGACAAAGACAAAGAAAAAATACTAAGAAAATAATATCAGAACATGCACAACCTCTGGGACACCAACAAAAGACCAAGCATCGAAACATGGGTATGAAAGAACACAGATAATTTGAACATATAGAAAACATATTTAAGAAAGTAATAGAAAATTTCTCCAATCTAGAGGAAGAGGGAGTCATGCAAGTACCAGAGTTCTTTAGAATACAAAACAGGAATGATCAGAAAAGAAACACCACTATCCATATGACAATCAAATCACTGAATATACTGAGCAAAGGAAGAATATTGAAAGCCACAAGAAAAACCAACAAATCACATATAAATGCAGCTATGAAAGTAACAGCATAATTTTCAACAGACTCTCTAAGTAAGGAAGTCATGAAATGATTTTTTTCTAGCTCTTAAAGAAAACAACTGTCAACCTAGATTAATATATCCAGCAAAGCTATTCTTCATAATTGAAGGATAAATGAAAACCTTTCATGATAAACAGAAACTAAAGGAATTCATGACCACTAAATCAGTGCTGCACTAAATCAAATGCCACCAATAAAATAAAAGAAAGTATAAAACTACTAGATGAATACAAGCAAATAAGAATTAGAAAAGAAACAAACATCACAAAAAAACCCAAAATAACAAAAAGTACTGCACAACTTTGAATGACAACACAGAGTAGTCTCAATTCACCAATCAAACGACAGATTGGTGTGGTGGATGAAAAAGCAAGAAGAAACCACTTGTTGACTAAAAGACACAAATCTCATGGATAAAGACAAACACTGACTTAGGGTGAAAGAATGGAAAAATATTTTCCAAGCAATTGGACTCCAAAAGCAGGCATGAGCTACTATGCACATATTTGATGAAACAGACTTCAAACCAAAATCAGTCAGAAGAGATAAAGATGGCCACTTCATATTAATAAAGGGAATAATTTATCAAGTGGAGATAACAATGGTTAAGTTATATTCAGCACAAATTGGCATACCCAATCTAGTTAGATAAACACTACTGGACTTACAAGCATAGACTTTAATACATGACTCTCAGTAGATAGATCATCCAGAAAAGAAAATCAGCAAAAAATTTCTGAATTAATTGACACTACAGACCAAATGGACTTAATAATTATCTATAGACTATTTCATCTTGTATCTTAACAATTCACATTCTTCTCAGAAGCCCATAAGAACTTTCTTCAAAATAGAACATATTGTAGGACATAAAGCAAGCCATAGCACAAATAAAATAATTCCCATAATCTATGAAAAAACAATGGAATAAAAATATACATGAGCAGCAAAAGAAACTACACAAAATATTCAAAAACATGGGTCCTTGACGAAATAAGGAGGGAAATAAAGAAAATGCTAGGATCTAATGAAAATGAAAACACGATGTAAAAGAACCTCTGAGAAAGATCAAAAGGATTGAAAAGAGGAAAGTTTATACTATGAGCATCTACATCAAAGAAAAAAGAGATCTCTCATAAGTAACCCCTTGATGTACCTCAAGCCCCTAGAAAAGGAAAAAACAAACCAAATACAAAATTAGAAGGTTGAAAGAAATGAATAGAGAAGGGGCATAAATTAATGAAATGGGGACTAAAATAACAATAAAAAGAATCAACAAAATGAAAAGTCAGTCTTTGCAAAGACAAACAATATTGACAAACTTTTAGGCAAACTAACCAAAAGTAAGAGGGAGTGTGCCCAAGTTATTAGAATTAGAGATGAGAAAGGTGGCATCACAACAAATATCAAATAAATCAGAGGATAGTTAAGGAGTTCTTCAAAAATTATATTCTAATAGACTGTAAAATCTAGAGGAAATAGATTAATTTCTAGATGCATATGGCCTACCCAAATTGAGGCAAGAGGATTTAAACCAAAATGAAGCTATAAAAATCTATGACATTGAAGCAGTAATAAAGAGTCTCACAAGAACAACCCAGTACCAGATGGAATCAATGCTGATTTTACCAGACCTTTAAAGAAGAACTAACACAATGTTCCACAAAATATTTTGTGAAAAAGAAAGGGAAGGCATGTTACTAAACTCATTCTATGAAGCCTGTTTTACCTTAATACCAAAATTCTACAAGGACATGTGAAGAAAGAAAATTATAAATCAATTTCCCTGTTGTATATAGGTGCAAAAATTCTCAAGAAAGTACTGGCAAACTGAATTCAATGACACAGTAAATGACCATGCTCCTTGATCAAGTTGGTTACATTTCATGGATTTAAAGGTGGTACAACACACACAAGTCAATAAATATAATACAACACATAACCACAGTCAAGAACAAAAATTATATGATGATCACAATTGATGCAAGAAAAAGTCTCTGACAAAACTCAATAGCTTTTCAACATACAAGTTCTGAAGAAACTAGGAATAGAAGGAATATATCTCAAAAATAATAAAGACTACATATGACAAACCTATGGCCAAAATCATAGTAAAGGAGAAAAAAACAAATTATTTTCTATGCTGAGACACCTAAAAATAGGATATCCCAATACAGGCCAGCCTGCACAAAATGTGAGACCTCATTTCTAAAATGACCCAAGCTAAGAGTCCTGGAGACATCTTTCAAGTGGCAAAGCATCCACCTAACAAACACAGAGACCTGGAATCAAACCCAAGTACTGTCCCCAGGAAAAAATAGAAAGTTAATATTGAACACAAAAAATTCAGAAATTATATCCAATATAATTTTAATATTTTAGTAAGGGGTAAGTAATAAAAGAATACATTCATTTATAGTTGAAATATTTTTTATTCTTTTAAAAGTTTATTTCATTGTTTTTACATTTACTAACAGTGTATACATTATTTGGGTCACCTCCCCCTCCCGACCCCCAGCCCCAAGCAGAACCTGTTCCACCCTATTGCTCTCCAATTTTGTTAAAGAAAAGTCATATAAGATAAAAAGAAAACAGTATTTCTGCTAGTTTGAGATGTAGATAGCTAGACAGAGTGATTCTTAGTGTTGCTTCCACATACATGTGTATTGCAACCCACATTGGTTCAACTCTACCAGACCTCTTCACTACTTCCTAGTTTCGTTCCCATAGTGGTCTCTGCCAGTTTAAGATTATTATGTTCACTCCTATATAGTGAGCATATTAACTATATTCAAGTTTTTGGTTTAAATATTTTGAACTGTGACTAACAAAATAATTAACATTGTGATTTCCAATAGGGAGAAGAGAGGAATATAGTCAAAAAGGGATTCAGAAGCACATGTAATTACTTTGATAATACTTCCACTAAGGTGCTACAATATTTATAAATAAATTACATGTATTGGTATATATGCATATATTATAACATTTTACAGTAATAAAATTCTTACTGTATATCTTCAGTAAACTCATGATGCATTGTAACTCTAAACTTACTCACTTATATATCCTTACCTAAAAAATGAAGGTAATCAGGTGAGATGATGGATATGCTGATTTGCTTCATTTCAGTAAATTATACACATGCAAACACACACACATGTCATTGTATCCCATAACATTGAATACCTTATGCATAATAATATATTCTCTGAAGAAAGAAAATGAAAGTCTTACAAAACAGAGGTTGCGTTTTCATATTGCAATGGTAGAAATTAATCTACTCCCTGGTTTGTGATGTTCCAAGATGACTACAGACTGAGAAAAACTTTTCTTTGTAGCATACAATTATAAAACAAAATTTTGACTATTCCAAAGTACATCTCTGATAAGTCTAAAAAAGTTGAAATTCAATACAACTTTTAGGAAACATGTTGCTTATGCAAGACAACACATTTTTTCATTGAATTCTTCATCATCAGTAAGTCAAAATGAGAAATACCTATTCTTAAAAATGACAAATTACAAATGTTAACTCAATGAGGAAAATCATCAAAATATGTTTACGACATGGATTAATATGACTTTCAAAAAACAAGTACATATCCTTTCAAGAAGAACTAGAGTCTGATTTCATCAGAAGCCTCATGTCATCATTCAACTGATAGTGTCATTAACTATACACAATATCAACTGGCATCCAAATACCATGAAATGAAAATGCACAGATATTGATCATTACTTGTATTTGGAAATAATCCAAAGATACTGTGTATAAAACAGGTATATGAATCTCAAATGAAGTGGAATAGTGAAAGGTACAATTTATAAACCTCCCTTTTCATCTTACAAATTTGTCTAAGCATTAACCACATTCTTTTCATGAATGTAGCTCACAGTGAACTTCAAAAATGTAGTTTATTCTATGGCCTAAAAAGAATAAACCACTTTCCTCTAAGTTCTATTTCAACCAAAACTGTGAAAAATAAAGTTATGAGGTGGTGTTATTCGCATCATTACTTATAATACATAAAAACCTGTGTCTTGTATTCATCTTTAGATATTCTCTTAAGGTCAATTCTAATCTCAGTGGCTAATATACTTTGCTTTTGGGACAGCTTTGAATAAAGAGATGCATCTCTATAGGATCCATTGAGTAGACTGTGTCATCCTTTGCTAGAACTCTCTGCCTGTTAACATTTGCAACCTGTTCAATATAAAGAAATTCTTATTCAATCTCTAGTCTTTTCACAGAATAGTTTTTCCATAGAATTTTTAATCTCTGAATTTCTCAAGGTGTATATCAAAGGATTCAACATGGGAGTAATAACTGTACAAAAAACAGTCACTGATTTATCAATGGGAAGGTTGAAAACAGGTCTAACATACATGAAAATACAAGGAACAAAAAAGAGGACAACCACTGTGATATGGGAACTACAAGTTGACAGGGCTTTGCGCCTCCCTTCCTGACTGTGAGTTTTAAGAGAGTTTAAGATAATTCCATATGATATTAGGAGAAGGATAAAGACCACCATACATATTGCACCAGTATTTGCAACCACAGTGAGGCCTATAAAGTAGGTGTCAGTGCATGCAAGTTCCAATAATGGGTACATGTCACAGATGAAATGGTCAATGATATTGGGGCCACAGAAAGGGAGATGAGACACATATATGAGTTGAACCACAGAGTGAATAAAACCTCCACTACAGGCCATCACCACAAGGAGGATGCAAACCCTTCGATTCATGATGGTCAGATAGTGCAGTGGCTTACAGATGGCCACATAGCGGTCATAGGCCATCACCACCAGAAGGAACACCTCAACACCACCAACTAAATGCCCAACAAAGAGCTGGCCCAGGCAAGCTGAAAAGGATATAGTCTTTTTCTTAGATAGTAAGTCTGTTATCAACTTGGGTGAAATGGCAGTAGAATAAGCAGCGTCCATGAGTGATAGGTAAGCAAGGAAAAAATGCATAGCAGATCCCAAGGAGGGACTAGCAAGAACAGTCACCACAATAAGCAGATTGCTCACCATTGTCACAATGTAGATGAGTAAAAACACAACAAATAATGCTTTTTGCCCATTGGGATCCTGAGTAAAGCCCAGGAGGACAAATTCTGTGACATTGTTACTCTGTGTCATTTGCTCTCTGTAAGGCTTGTGTCTTTAGAGAACATGAACTTCCATGTAATTGTGCACAGACTACGGATCTGTTTTGTCATGGAGAACTTCTTCATCATTATCTTCTACACTGGTGAACACACAGTAAAACATCTAAACATCAATTGAACTCAACTTCCAATGATCCCACAGAACTTTTTTATGGATATTTCTATTTTTCCTCAGATTATTTTGTTGAGCATAGAAGTACCTCAATGGACCTCTACAGAAAAGAGTAGAAAAAGGCACCAGTCATTCAAATATTTTAAAAAATTTATTTAAAATGTGTTACTTCTTGGCACAGAATCCAGCAATGACAAACAGGGAACTGATTTCTGCTTTCAGAAAATGTACTCTCTAGTGGAGTAACAAATCCAAATATATCACCAACATAGGCAGTTGTTTGAGTTGATAATATTTGTGGTAAATAACTTTAAAATACAATTTATGTAACTCCCAAAACAGTGACTGTCCTGAAGCATCCATCAGTGCTATGATATTGCTATATTGAGCACCTTTCTGCATGTCTCAGAGGACTTTCAGTTTCCATACATCTGTCATCAAATTTTGAGACCCTCGAATTTAATTGGCATGAAATAACTACAAAAGGATTTAACACATTGCAGTCTGGAGCCATTGCTCATCTGACTTGGATTGTCAGATTGTTTTCTTCCTTGCCTATAGCAACACATTTACATTTGTTACCAAGATTTTAGCAAATATCTGTTAACTGGACTTTACTAACCATGACACTCATAAACTACTTTCTCAAGTAGTCTATGCTCATGGATTTGCTAGTGGAGGAGTTCATATGAACTACATTAGCTTTATTTAAACACCACCTGTGATGAATCTTCTTTGCACATTATCCACATTAATGCCAGTGCCTGATTCAGGAGATCTGTAGCTATTTAAGCTATAGACTGATAACTGCCTACCTATTTAATAACATAAGGGTAAAAGTAAGCTATGTCTAATACTCTTTCTCTGACATCTTACATTTTGCAATACTTATTAATTCAGTGCTATTTTTCATCAGGACAAATGTACTTTTGGCCAGTTTAATTACTTATAGACTAGAGTACTTAAATTATACCATATACCATGCGTTTAAGTTTTCAAAGATTTGACATTATAAAAACAAGAATAATATGATTATGGTGTTCAACTGTAAAAATTAAGTCAAAACTTTGCCAGAAAAAATAATTTTACAGTTTTTAAAAACAGGGCTTTTCATAAATATAACCCTGTAATTTAAAAAATACCCTGTATAGTACTTTTTTCCCTATATTGTACATTATAATTTTATAAATCAAGGTAACAGCAGATGAGGTACTTCCCTCATCACAGGTTTCTCTATTATATATACCAACATACATCCTGGGGTCATTTTAAGATTCACACGTAAAAGCCCATTTCATGTTTCCAGAACATAATAGACAATTTCACTTATATTGAAATAAACATGTAATTTTCAATTCTGCAATTCAGATAGATCTAAACATAATTATTTTTAATTGGTAACATATCATGTAAACTATAATATCCCGTAAAATAATGTGACAAATCTATTATTTTTTGTTAAACATATATCATGTGTTATATGTCACAATGGAAAATAAACAATAATTAGTCTGTAACACTGAAACCAAATATATTATATATCTTAATTTTTTTGTTTTGTCACCTAAAATTTCCTGATATCTCCTGAGATGAATATATGACTTTGAAAATATTAGTTGTATTTCAGTGTCTCACAAAAATGCTCAACTAATATCACTTACCAGTTGTTTCAAGAACTCACATAATAGGTTTGTCCTTGGTCCAGAAAATCAATGTCTCATTTACTGAGGGTGACTGCTGATATTTCACGTACAGTATGAATGCTTAATTAATCCAGGAAAGGTACCAACTGGCTATAGCAAATATATTTCCACAAGGCTTCCCATGCTTTTAGACATTTAGAGAAGAGTAAAAGCATCCAAAGTGCATTCCTAAGACATAAAGACATTTAAATTTGTCAATACTTACTATATAAAGGAAGTCAAAGATTCTTACATGCTGTGAGAATGTCTTCATAGAAGAGTAAAGGTCTTATTTGTGGCCTTAGATAAAAAATTGACCTAATTAGTAGGAAGCAACTTTTCCAAATCATCATTTGTGTCAAAAATAAAGATTAGGTGAGTTTCTTTCCTTTCAATCAATTATGGGTAAGCCACTAAAAAAGACTTAGCTTTAACATTTTCCAGTAACATTTTGTACCTAATTACCAACCTCTTTTACTAACAAAGCAAAAGTCAAGGACAGCTTCATGGAAAATCCAGTGATGGTGGTTTCTCAAACCAGTGGCAGAACTCTTCAATCTTTCAGTCACTAAAATAACATCTGGCAAAGGACCTTCTTTCTTAATTCAAAAAATATCCCATACCTCCCCAATCTCATGCCAAAAATTGAGAATTTTCATACACTTCTATAACAATGATGGATATAACAAGAGAATAGCATACCGCAAGACTAGATACCAGCTAAGACATACTCCAGCTAGGGCATCATTAGAGAATTTAGAAATCTCTTGGGTCATTCAAACAGGAATATAATTTGTCCACTTATACATGTAGATACATCTACATTTGCAGATGACTATTTACATCAGCACTACTTTAAAGGGAAGAAAATGTAAGGTCATTATAGACTAGTTTGCTACAATATTTGGAACAGATCCAAATGAAATAATCTCTCTTGAATACATTTCTGCCCTTACAATCACTAGAAGAAAAATATTTCACTCTTGTCAGTACAGAGTAGCTAACTGCCATGTGATATGTAAAGTCTACAATTTACAAGAAAAAATTCCAAACTGTAATTATTAATAAACTTTCAACTGTACACTGTTAATTATGCAAGGCAAATAATATTTGAGGTTTTCTTTATTTTTATTAGCATATATTCATTGTACATGGGTATTAGTTGTGAAATTTCCAGATAGTCTTACACTGCACATTGGCAAAATTGCCCCCACAATGTCCCCCCTCAATCCCTTCTTCACCCCACTTAAAATAACTGCAATGTTTTTCGTCAATCTATTTTATATATGTACACAAAGCCCATCAACAATGTTCCCTCAAGTACACTTCCTTCCTGTGGATACTGGTTATTCGTAACTTATCAAATGAGTAGCTGAGTAGCTGGCAAGGATTTTCTCCCATTCTGTAGACTGTCTCCTAAGTCCAGTGACTATTTCCTTTGCTTTGCTTTTAAGTTTGATGCAAAGTCATTTTCCATCCTTTCTCCTAATTACTGAGTCTTCGAGGTTCTATTTAGGAATTCATTGCCTATGCCTATATGTTCCAGTGTATTTCCTATTATTTCAGGCTTTATATTAGTATCTTTGATCCACTTTGACTTGATATTGGTACAGGGAGAAAGAAGACACACATTTAGTTTCATTCTTCTATATGTAGATATCCAGTTTTCCCAGAAACATTTGTTAAAGAGGCAGTCTTTTTTCTACCATGTGTTTTGGATTCCTTTGTCAAAAATCAGTTGGTTGTTGCTGGGTCCTCTATTCTGCTGCATTGGTCTTCATGTCTGTTTTTATGCCACTACTATGCTGTATTCATTGTTATGGCCCTGTAGTATAGTTTTAAGTAAGTTATTCTGATACCTCTAGCATTCGACATTTTGCTTAGAATTACTTTGACTACTCAGGTCTTTTGTGTTTCCAGTGAATGTTAGGACTGATTTTTCTTTCACAGTGAGAAATCTCATTGGCATTTTGATGGGGATTGCTTTGAACATATAGATTGCCTTTGGTAGTGCAGTCATTTACACAAAATTGAACTGCCCATTCATGGCAGAGCATGGGAGATCATTCCATCTTCTGATGTCTTTGATTTCTTTCTTCAGTGATTTATAGCTTTCATTAAGAAGGTCCTTAATTCTCTTCTTAAGTTTATTCACAGGAATAAATTCCTTGTCAGAGCAACAAGACTGGGGGAAGAAATAAATGGAATTCAAATAATGAAGGAATAATGGAATTCAAATAATAGGTAGAAATATCACTATTTGCAGATGATATAATCTTACACCTCAAAGGCCCTAAAAACTCCACCATAAAGCTCTTCAACATCATAAGCACTTTCAACAAAGTCTCAGGATACAAAATCAACTTGCAAAAATCAGGAACTTTCATATATAATAACAATAAAGTGGTTGCAAAAGAATTTATGAGAACAATCTCATTTATAATAGCTTCAGGAACAATTCTTAGGAATAAATTTAACAAAGGACATGAAAGATCTCTACAATGAAAAGTACAAATTACTGTAGAAAAATTGAAGAAGACATTAGAATATGGCAGTATCTCCCATGCTCAGGAATTGTCAGAATACTGTGAAAGTGGCTATGCTACCAAAAGCAAGCTGCATGTTCAATGCATTACCCATCAAATTCCCATGAAATTCCTCCAGAGATTGAAAACTCAGTCTTACAGTTCATATGGAATCACAAAAGATCTCTGATAGCCAAGGCAATAATGAATAAAAAGAGCCACACATCCGGTGTCGCAATACCTGACTTCAAACTACACTTCAGTGCCATAGCAATAAAAATGGCATGATACTGGCACAAAACAGACACAAAGAGAAATAAAACAGAATAGAAGCCCCGAACATACATCCACACTGCTAGAGCCCTCTGATTTTTTTGACGAAGGCACCCAAGACAGATAGGATGGAGAGTTGTCTACAGCCATACCACCCTGAATGCACCTGATTCCTCATCAGATAGGATGGAGAAAAGACAGACTCTACAACAAATGGTGCTGGAAAAACTGGATATCTTCTTGTAGAGGACTGAAACTAGATCCCTGTGTTTTACACTATACTGATATCAATTTGAAGTGAATAAAAAACATTAATGTAGGTATTAGTCCTTTTTTAAGGTCTAGTAGAATTCAGCACTGAATCTGTCATTTCCTAGAG